ACTAAACTGGCTAATCTTTCTAAATATGAATACTTCTCGAAAATATACAGTAATAGCACTGAAGTTTAATGACTTTGACATGAAGCAGGTTCCCCAGGTTATCTAGTGTCTGTGGTGTCTGTATAGTAAATTATAGTTAGATAAAGTGGTTCCTTACAGTTTTCATGTTTGCAGTTTCAGATCTAAAAAAAAGAAGCAATATTAACTTAGTGTCTTATTCTCTTTACAGCCTGTGACCAATGCAGTCATCACAGTTCCAGCTTACTTCAACGATTCCCAGCGTCAAGCCACCAAAGATGCTGGGGCCATCTCTGGCCTTAATGTACTGCGCATCATCAATGAGCCTACTGCTGCAGCTATTGCTTATGGACTGGACAAGAAGGTAAGCTAATCTTAAAATGTTCAGCTTTTGCTATTTTGGCTTCCTCTTTGTAATTCTCTCCTCTCAATTTAGGTTGGTGGAGAGCGCAATGTGCTTATCTTTGACCTCGGAGGTGGTACTTTTGATGTGTCAATCTTGACTATTGAGGACGGCATCTTTGAGGTGAAGGCCACTGCTGGTGACACACACTTGGGCGGTGAGGACTTTGACAACCGCATGGTGAACCATTTCACAGCTGAGTTTAAACGCAAGTTCAAAAAGGACATCATCAACAACAAGCGAGCCGTGCGTCGCCTCCGCACAGCCTGTGAACGCGCCAAGCGTACCCTTTCCAGCAGCACCCAGGCCAGCATCGAGATCGACTCGCTCTACGAAGGTACAGATTTCTACACTTCCATCACCAGGGCCCGTTTCGAAGAACTCAATGCAGACCTGTTCCGTGGAACCCTCGAGCCTGTGGAGAAGTCCCTGAGGGATGCCAAGATGGACAAGACACAGATCCATGATATTGTCCTGGTGGGCGGCTCCACACGTATCCCTAAGATTCAAAAGCTGCTCCAAGACTTTTTTAATGGTCGTGACCTCAATAAGAGCATTAACCCTGATGAGGCTGTCGCCTATGGTGCAGGTGGGTCTCTGCAGCATTTATCACTATATATTTCAGCTATGGCTCAATAAAACAGAGCTGCTGACTGAAACCATAATCAGTTTAACTTTGTGGAAAATCTCCACAGCTGTGCAGGCCGCCATCTTGGCTGGGGATAAGTCTGAGAATGTACAGGACCTACTCCTGCTGGATGTCACACCCCTTTCCCTGGGAATCGAGACAGCTGGAGGAGTAATGACTGTCCTTATCAAGAGAAACACCACCATCCCCACTAAGCAAACCCAGACCTTTACCACCTATTCAGACAACCAGCCCGGTGTGCTCATTCAGGTACATCAGGGTTAAAGTTGTGTAACTGTTTAACCTTTATGCCCAGCTGCATTCTAGGTACTTGTGTACACTAAAACCTGACTCTGATACATTAAGCTACAATATGAATAATTGTTTTCAGGTGTATGAAGGTGAGAGAGCCATGACTAAGGACAATAACATCCTTGGGAAGTTTGAACTGACTGGTATTCCACCTGCTCCGAGAGGGGTTCCTCAGATCGAGGTGACCTTTGACATTGATGCAAATGGCATTCTCAATGTGTCTGCAGTGGACAAAAGCACTGGAAAGGAGAACAAAATAACTATCACCAATGACAAAGGTACAATTATGAAAAAATACATACTAATTCATATATCCAGCAGCAAATTTATTATGAAAAAATCAAATCCTATACATGAATGCAGGGGAAAAAAATTTAATTCTGTCACAGGCCGGTTGAGCAAAGAAGACATTGAGCGCATGGTGCAGGAAGCAGAGCAGTTCAGGGCTGAGGATGAAGTCCAGAGGGAGAAAGTGACAGCCAAGAATTCCCTTGAATCTCTCGCCTTTAACATGAAGAGCACCGTAGAGGATGAGAAACTCCAAGACAAGATCAGCCCAGAGGACAAGAAGACTATTGTGGACAAGTGCAACGAAGTCATTGCATGGCTGGACAGAAACCAGGTAAAAAGCCATGCCTTAAAAGTAGGCCGAGGTTCCTCTTTATCTAAAATTGTGAAAGCAGTGAGCATTACATTGTATCAAAGTTATGAATCAATATCCTTCTTCCTTTTCCTGTCATATGCTTCCTGTCAACTCCTGACCCACAAAGCCTTCTGTCATAGTAGAGTATATTTGCTCTTTTCTTTTCCCAGATGGCAGAGAAGGAGGAGTATGATCACCAGCAGAAGGAACTGGAGAAGGTGTGCAACCCTATCATCTCTAAACTATATCAAGGGGGCATGCCAGGAGGAATGCCCGGTGGCTTCCCTGGCGGTGCAGGAGGTGGCTCCTCTTCTGGTCCAACTATCGAGGAAGTTGACTGAACTCAGTGTTTTTTACTATTTGCCAATAGATATTCACCTTACCTAGTACACATCTGATAAATATCTAGTCAAGTTTATAACAAATGTTTTGCAATATCTAAGCACACATCACATTCAATATCCAGATGCATATTTAGATAGTTTAAAAGTCACACCTTTGTATCAATGCTTTTTTATGCAAAAAATCAATAAATATCAACAGTAAAATTCTGATTTGACAACTGTAACGTGTGTATCTTCTCATTTATGGTGAAACTAAGGTATGCACAGAGACATTCAACTTGCAGCTGTAGAAAAGTGCAGATAAAACTGGTTCCTGTAAACGAACCACATGTGATCTGATCAGTATCTTTTTCCTGCCTATTAACAAGAAATATTTACAGGAAATATTGCCACAATGAAAGAAGGTCGATGTTAAAAAGAGGTGAGATGTTGACTGCAAATGTGTGAGTTTGAAAGATAAGATGCAAGCAAGAGCATGTACCTTGGAACATCTTGATCAAAGGTCAATGAAAGGTTTTTCCTGTCTATTACATGACAACTTGGTGCTTTTGCCTTTTAGCAAAATGAATTTAGAATTCAGCAAAAACTGAGTTTATCACCAGATGCCATTTTCCCATACTGTGGGCACATGAAGGGGGGGATTGTGGGTGGGGCATGAAGACCTACACATGCAGTTCAGGGTCAAGCGTATTGGATGTGCATATAAAAGCAAGTGTGCCCCACATCTGAAAATCGGGAATCACGACCGAAACACAAACATGTTCTTGATCATCAGTTGCTTTGCTCTTGTGGCCTCTGCATTGGGTGAGTGATTTGTGATTTCATGACAAAGAAATTTGCTACCACACTCTGAGATCTGTGGTGGCAGTTGTGGATTTTACTCTTGCTGTTTGACTAACTGCACAAAAGTAAACACTTTACACACTGGTCAGCTGTGTGCGTAAATGGGAAACACAGTTAAGCGTTTTGTGCACCACCAAAAAAGACAAGTACAAAAATACATACAGAATGAACTCTGACACTTTTTGTCAAATAACTTTGATCTTTTTTTATGTCACTGGGTCTCAGGGTGTGGAGTGCCTGCTATCAAGCCCCAAGTGAGTGGATACAACAAGATTGTGAATGGGGAAAATGCTGTGTCTGGCTCCTGGCCTTGGCAGGTTTCGCTTCAGGTAGTTTCAGTTATTTACTACGCACAAACAATGTGGTTTTGCTACAGTCACAATTTACAACAACTTATTTCATTTTAAATTACAATGTAGAAGTTTGTCACAGATATTTTTTTTTCTTTATTGCAGGATAGCACTGGATTCCACTTCTGTGGAGCTTCACTGATCAACCAGTACTGGGTTGTCACTGCTGCTCACTGCGGTGTGAAGTAAGTCACTTGAGTGCTGTAGCAACACAATAAGTCTTCCAACACTTTGATCATCCTCCTGATTTATTTCTTTTTTTTAGTCCATCACGCCACCGTGTGATCCTGGGAGAACATGATCGGCAGTACAATAGCGAGCCAATTCAGGTCATGTACATTTCTAGGGTGAGCTATAATACAACACAAATGAAAGTTGTCTTCATCAAAGCCCTTGTCTGAATCGTATTACATTTGTGTGTGGTTTATCCTCACCTCTTCATCTAGGCCATCACTCACCCCTACTACAACTCCCAGAACTTTAACAATGACATCACTCTTCTGAGGCTGTCCTCCCCAGCACAGTATACTTCCCGTGTGTCACCTGTGTGCCTGATGTCCTCCACCAGCAGCATCCCCTCTGGAACCAAATGTGTCACCACTGGATGGGGCCGGACTGGAGTAACATGTGAGTTTTTTTCCAACGGGTAAATTGAGATAATCATCTCACAATACACTGGTGTAAAAAACTTAGTTTACAAAAAGGTAATGCAGATAAATATATGAATAATATACACTGCTGCATAGTTCCTGGAGAAAAATGTGAAAGACTTCGTTTGCAATTAGACTAATTCTTTTTATTCCTATCCTTTTTTTTGTTTTTCTCAGCAAGCCCTCGCTTCCTCCAGCAGACCGCCCTGCCTCTGATCAGCCCTGATCAGTGCAAGAGCTACTGGGGTTACAACAGAATCACTGATGCCATGATCTGTGCTGGTGCTTCTGGAGTGTCTTCCTGTCAGGTAACAACCATTTCAAAATGATTATGACAATGATCAGAAATACTCTTAGAAGGTCAAATTTTAGGGGGTAGCTCAGAATTTTCAGAAAATGCAGAAATTAAATGCATCACTGCTGAATAATATCAAGAGCATGATAAGAATATAATATTTTCTTTTATATCAACAAAGTAAAAACATCCCCTTTGTCTACTTTAGGGTGACTCTGGTGGCCCTCTGGTCTGTGAGAGCAGTGGTGTATGGTACCTCACTGGTATTGTGTCCTGGGGAACCTCTAACTGCAATGTCTACACCCCTGCTGTGTATTCTCGTGTGTCCTACCTGCGCAGCTGGGTCGACCAAACAATTGCTAATAACTGAAGCTTAAGAAATAAATAAATAAATCAGCAAAACACACATGTGTAGGCTTCCCTTTAATATACTGCTAGCAAAATAAATAAGAGCACACCACGTTTCCCATCTTTCCATCAATGATTACAATATTATCAGTAAATGAATAACAATCGCACTAGTATTTTACTAGTTATTACTATTACAACTGACATTTGATGTTAGCAAATCCCACAATGCTGATGTTTGGTGAATTTGTGACAAACAGAACAATAGATTTCTAAAACAGCTACTGTTGGTTTGTTGTTTTTCATGCCCATCTGATAAGCCAGAGAGTGAGGGTGATTGGGTAGGATAGTGAAACTAAAATGTTGGAAACCACACACTATAACAAGACAGACCTTGTACAGTATTACACATGTAAGGCGTCTCCCACTTTTGAAGCATAATTACAAAAGTGTTGCAGCATTAGCATATTCTGGGGTGTTGCTGGTTTTCTATCAGCTCATTTCTGCGTGCGTTGCTTCATTTGCTACTGCGTAAACTAAAAGGGAAGAGTAATCAAAGACTTCTAGAAGAGGCAATAAAGACAGAATCTCTCAGCTAAAAGAAACATGGGGACTGGTAAGATACTTACATGCCTGTTGTCAGTTCTCACTAAAACAGAAATTTAGTTAAAGCTGTGCACATGTTAAGTTACACAAACTGAAACGCATGATCTTGTGATATGGTGCATAGATCATGTGCCAATACTTTAATATACATATATAAAATCTGCAAAGCACTTATTTTGTGTGTGCGTGTATATATTATATTATATTATATTATATTATATTATATTATATTATATTATATTATATTATATTATATTATATTATATTATATTATGTGTTAAAATAATAATACAATACTTCACAGGTCAATCTACACTGGAATCAGCTTCGACATACATACAAAAAGCCGCCATTATCATGTACTGCTTGATATTTATAGTTGGAACTCTGGGCAACGCTCTGGTTATCTACGTGACTGGATTCAAAATGAAGAAAACTGTCAACTCAATTTGGTTTCTTAACTTGGCCATAGCTGACTTTCTCTTCACAGCCTTCCTGATATTCTCAGTCATTTCTCTCTCTCAGAGTCACCAGTGGCCTTTTGGACAATTCGTGTGCAAGCTCAACAACTTTGTGAGTTTAGTCAACATGTTTGCCAGCATCTTTACTCTGACAGCTATAAGTTTGGATCGTTGTTTGTCCATCTGGGTGGTGGTGTGGGCACAGAACAAACGCACAGTCTGCAAAGCTCGGCTCATATGTGTTGGTATCTGGGTGACTGCTGCGATCTGCAGCACTCCTTATGCCACTTTTCGCACCGTGTTAGGAGATAATGGGACATATTACTGTGGTTATTCTATGACACATGAACAAAAATGGAGTCTCCACATTTTTCGCTTTGTTATGGGCTTTGTGATCCCATTCCTGGTAATAGTCATCTCTTATGTGGCCATAGGGATCCGTGCAATGCGCATGCAGAGAACAAGGAGAAGGAGATCTCGCAGAATCATTTTCTCCATCATTTTTGCATTCTTCATCTGCTGGTTACCCTTCCATGTTTTTAACTTTATAGAATTAAAGGCTGTGAATAACCCAGACCTCAGGAACATTGTTAGAATCATGGGTCCTCTGACTGTGAGTCTGGCTTTTCTGAACAGCTGTCTGAACCCCATCCTCTATGTTTTCATGTGTGAAGAATTCACGAAGAAGCTTCGGCAGTCCGTATGTTTTGTACTTGAGAGTGCTCTGGCAGAGGACCACGTGTCATTTATCTTCACTCACTCCATGTCATCAACATTTTCAAGGATTTCCCGAAAGTCAGATGCTGCCACGACTTTAGAGAAGATCAACCCAGCTGCTTTTGAATCCTGCACAGAAAGCAAAGTAGTCATCACTGAAAAGACACTTAGCACTTAATAAGATCTCACCAATAGATGATGAAATAAATCAATAATGCAAGATGTTCATCTCATCTCTTTGAAACATACAGTATAATGTTGGTACCCTGGCTCTGATTATTATGGGTGTCCTATAAGTCTGTTGGGGTAAGGCACAATATAATTATGCATGAAACAATAATCCAATCAAATCAGTCGGATTAAGTTCTTGATTAATCAATTAATGTAACATATAACACAAGTTTTTTAAAAAGAAAATAAGACTTCTATACTGTGGTTTTGAAGGTCTTGGATTTCTATCATTTGAATGCCAAATTTTTACATCATTTTTATATTTGTATATATATATATCTACATTTTATTGCTCCAGCTTCTTTAACCATGTAAATCACTATCAACATCTATAAAACTGTGACAAGTGACTGAACAGTGATTGAGTTTTTTGCATTTTTCTTTTGTCTGGTAAAGAAAAACATGATAAAAGGGTGCATTTGACTGACAAACCTTACTTGCACCCTGGCAACCGCTGTTTTATCTTACAGGATATCATGGTGCTGTATACTTCTTGCATTTGCAAAATGGAACACATTGCGTAAATCAAAGTACACCACAAACCACAAAAACATCCCTTTTAAAACAAAACAACAATGAAAACAGGTCCCAAAAATGACCAACATTAATATTATTTGTAAGCTATTAAACTATGAAGTGTGGTACATGAACCTGAGATTTAAACAGCATCTATCTTATCTTGCTGCACAGATGTGCTGTGCTCGCTTCTTTTTTCTTGTGGTTTTTTTTATTATCAGAACAACACCTGCTTCACTATTCATGCTAAAACTAATAATGGAACTCAGTAGCAATAAAAACATTGTTACATTTTTTTCTTACCACAATGTTGCTGAAAAACATTTTGCAATATCGCTAAACGCAAAACTACAATCCTACAATGGCGACTGTATGATTTACATTATTAGATTCAAAAACTGTAAAATTATATAATATTTATCTGACCCTTTAGCACATTAAACTCAGTCATTGTTAAAATTCCAATAAATCCAATATTGCTCAAGAAAAACAATTCCACAAATGCTACATTCACACCCAGTTTTCCATTCTCCAGTGTGAAAATGTTAGAAGAAGGACAAGCAGTGTATTCAGAGTTGGCTAACAAGCTCAACCCTGACAACCCATCCTTTTGAACACATTGTCCCAAAACTGGTCATCTGTGATCACTCCCTTTGTCAAGCTATTTAGAAATGAAACATGTGTATATAAAAACTCGAAATGCCAAAGACTGCAATTGTCTTTGTCTAATGTTTCTTTAATTCTATATAAGCAAGTTAACGGGTGGCATTCATGGAGGATCTGAAGTGTCAGTAAAATTAGATTTTGGAAAGCCAACAACCTAGACTCATCAGCCACTTTATTGGGCACGCCTGTTAAACTGCGTGTTAAGGCAAATTTCTAACCAGTCAATCACATGACAGCAAATCACTGTAATGTTTGGTACTGCTTAGAATCTGGCTAAGGATTCAATATGCACTGAGACACACAGAACTGCAATACCAAACAAACACCATCTCCATAGACACAGTGACCATGGAAACAAAACAACACCATATAGAAGGCTTCTGTGCAAATGTGAGTAAATGCTGACTGGGCCTTTGTCTTTATAGGAAATAGTGTTACAGGAATTTGATGACATATATATATATATATATATATATAGAGAGAGAGAGAGAGAGAGACATGTATTCAGTTTTGTACCACTGGCGCACTATGACAAGCAGACAAATTCCTCATTTGGGTAAAACCTTGGTGATAAATGTAATTTTGTTTGTGATTGCGATTCTGGCGAGCTACTTCATCAGGCCAGGTCTCTGCAGGCTATTGTGTCTAAAGTATCTGAAGCTTCACAAGCTCTAATGCTGCTTTTGGTACATCTTCACTGTATGATTTCTGTATAAACTTTTGTATAACCTGCTTAAGATGAAGCAAGTATGTGTCAGCATGAGCTTGTGAAAACTGCTTAGCTAGGCCTAACGATGTTTCATTATGTTATCTGTTAACTGTTTTGCTCAGAAGGATGAAGTGCATGGCCAGCGCCAGGTGGTGGCCTGGGAAAGGATAGTGGGAGTCTTGTTTGTGCAGCAACAGCCCAGGCTGGACAAAAGACTGTTGTAACTGAAACGATATACAGTTTGTGGGATGTTATAAACATGCTTGTCCCGAGGTTAGAATGCTCATTACTATGAACCTGTCATGTTTGGGAGCGTGTATGTGTATTCTCCTGCGCAGTAATAAATAGTTTGTGTCATGGTCCCCGTGTCTGCCCGGCCGGCTCGACAAGGCCACATGTGTTTTTGTGTACGTTCTCCTCTTGCTTCCCCGCCAGGGCGGAGCTCACTGCGGGCTCCCGCCCTCGGCGTACACACCTGTGTCTCATCAGGCACCAATTACAGGTTGGACACTTAAGGCCGGGACGCAGACAGTCTCATCGCTGGATGATTGTGTGAGACACGTTAGTGAATCTCAGCTTTGTCATCTCTAGCTCTGTGAAGTTTGTCTGTAATTTCTGCGTTAGCGTAACCCACCTTTTTCTGTGCACACTTTTCCCGGAGCCGTGACCAACCCGACATGTGAACCTTTGTGAAGAGAGGAGCAAGAGTGAACGTGATTCCCTTCCCGGACTTTCCTTTATGACCCTGGACCCCCGCTATTCCCTCACTCTATATATCTGTACCTGGTGACTTTGTAAATAAACATTGTTTCTTGCATTGACCTCTGCTCTGTGCCTGAGTCCTACTACAGTCCGTGACAGTTTGATCACAGCTCTTTCAGTGTTGCAGACTTTATTTACAAAATTCCACGACAAAAGTCAACAAGGAAAAGCACAAATACTAAAAATGAATGCAGACACATTTGCAACTGTGGTATTGGAGCTGTCCTGTTGGGATCTATCTGTAGCTGGTCAGTAAGTTCAGTATTTGTTACCTCTTTGTCACCCACTCATTTTCTGGATTGGATTTGTACTCAGACATGCACAGATGATCTTGAGAAGTTTGTGTTAACTACTGAGAAAATGAAATTGTGGGGCCTTTTAAAGAATCTCCAGGAAAAATCTGTAAATAAAAGATTCATCTTATTGTGAAAATAAAATATTTCATCTGAGTCATTTAGTACCTCCCACGTTAATTTGACCAATATAATGTGACAGCCTTATATTGTCACATTATATTTAGCCTTGGTGGATACGCCAAGACAGGTTTTATGACCTTTAATAATGCTTGCACATCCAATCTGTCGGCGTAGGTTGAGATCTAGTGACTGTGGAGGCCATTTGAGTACAGTGAACTCATGTTAAACTAGTTCAAGAAACTACAGCAATCCTCCAGTAGTCTGTGGAATGTAAACAATGCTCGGTTGGTACTTAGTGTATTTAAGTGTGCAAAAAAATGGGTGGATCCATTCTGTCATAATATTTACACCAAATTCTGATCCTATAACAGAGACTGAGGCTCATCAGACCTGGCAAAGCTTTTTGGCTTCTGAGTGGCCAGAGGATTATCATGGAACTGTTTTTTATGTTGTTGAGGTGCAGAGAGTAAACGTGCTGCTGGGAACGTTATCCATCTCCATCTTGGTGATTCCGAACCACATAATGAAAACTCACGTTACGTTTTTTCAGATGATTCTCTGTAAATCCTAAAGATGGCTGTGTGGGAAAATTACTGTAGAATATGCAGCAGTTTCTGCAGTAGTTTCTGAAATACTCAGGTCAGGTCTTCAAGCAGAGGCGGAGCCAGACATTTGAAACACCCAGGGCTTAGCCCTAAAGGGTAGTATGCATGTGGGATTTTTTTTTTTTTTTTTTTTTTTGGGGGGGGGGGGGGGGGGGGGGGGGGGGGTGGCGGGGGGGGGTGGGGGGGGGGGGTGGGGGGGGGGGGGGGGGGGGGGGGGGGGGGTTTGAGATGACTGAAAGATTAATTGGCTCTGTTTTGAGTTTTGTTCAAAAGAATGACTTCATATAGGAAAAAAATATATATCACATATGCAGGACACGTTAAACTAGTTTTTTAATTAAGCAGCAAGGCAGAACAAAGTCTGGCTGTATCAAGACATGAGGACTAAACCCCAATTCAACCAGGCCCAGAACTGATCTAGAATTAAAACAGGACTACAAGAGTTCAAAATCAGGACCACTGAGGACTTAACCAAGACAGAACAAGAATCAGAACTAGATGATAGTAGCACTAAAAATCATCATAGACCTGCACTACACTTATTTTTTAATTCTACCAAAGTACAATATTTAGATTGAGAAAAGTTTATATAATTATTTAGCCTTGTTGTGCAAACAAGCCTGCATAAGTTAATAAATATATAACTTGAAAAATAACAAACCTAAAAAGGAACACTAGGTACAAGATACATGAGGACCTGTGATACGGTGATACTTTTGGTAAACAACCATTTGACTAACGTGTGTCTCACCTGCTCTTGTTCATCTCTGTTCCTCTCTCTCCCTCTTTGTGCTGACAATCATCAAATATACAGTTGAAACCAGATATTTACACACTCTTCAGATAAAAACAGATACACTTTTTTAATTGTAATATCAAATCAGACTAAATGTTTCTTTTTTTTAGATTGATAAATATAAAAACATATTTGTTAACTTTAAGAGTAAAGAGAGAAACTATCTGTATTTCTTAATTGTAAATGGCACCAAATTGTATTCAAAATTGAGCCACACTTATGGAGCTCCACAATTCTTTTCTTGGTGTTTTGGTTGACATTTCTTGATTTTCCCATTTCAAAGAAACAGGCTCTGTGTTTTGCCTTATATGCATTGTTACGGATTCAAATATTGGGGATGGATACAAGAGGAAAAACCAAAATAACAACACTGGTCCGGCCGGGTTGAGTCAAACGATGATTTTAATGATCACACGCGTGGGAGATGGACACCGTACGCAGACAGCATCAGATCTCACCTCAAAAACCACATCACAATAGTTTTATGAAATCAGGGTATTAGAACGCCCCCTCATGCGTAAGACAGGTACAATACAATCAATGTTGACAGTTTTTTGACACAGCAAAGGAACATTCTCTCCATCCCGAGGACAGGCACTGACTCCCGCTTATCTCCTGGAGCCAACCGTCCCCTATGGAGACACAACATTGCAGCTACAAGGATTTCCAG